CAGATACAAAGAAATGAGAAACATTCTCCTTTGAGAATCTCAGTTAGTTCTGTTTCTGCCATCTTTAGTTTAGCACTTTGGTGAACACACTCTTTAACAAGCGTAGCTATTTGTGCAAACCCTGAGGGCAATTTAAACTCAGACATAGTCAAAGAGGGGAGGGATCTTTAAGAAAAATGTCTATATGGAAATTTTCAGGTAAATGCTAAGTAAAAGAAGGTTAGTAGATTAAACCTACAAAGTTTGAGTTTATATAAGGAATTTTTGTCACTATTAACTAGGTTCAAAAAATTGTACTTCTTTTAGTTGAACATAAATATTTCTTACAATATTAAGGGTAACTGTGTGTTGAAATACATTTTCCTTCTAATTAGCTATTAGCCAGCTGAATATAAACCAGATAAAGAAAGAAAAAACAGTAGAGAGTGGCATTTGCTTTTATTCTAGCATTTAAATGTGCCACTAGGTTCTTGGTGAAATATCTTTTTAAGAGGAGGTAGAAAAATGTGTCTATTTCTGCAACCTAAGCCTCTGATTCAGATTCTAAAAATATGTCCTGTTTGGTAAGGCCTCTGAAGTCATTTAAATTTAAATCCAGAGAAGTCATTGAGAAATTCTCTTGTCCTTTGAAGTTTTAAGATCTAAAAGATAATAAAGTACTCATCTAGATACTATATTCTTAGCTAAGATAATGTGTTGCCTTACATTTTTACAAATTTAGGATCTGAAGGAAACTGAATATAAAAGTCATATTTAAGAATTCATTTAAAAAAACTAAATAGGTGAAGTTCAGGGGTTCAAGAGATTAATTCAACTTTTTATGGAAACATTTGCAATAAATCCAAAGTTAATGAACATTCTGACACTTAATATATTTAAGGTTTATAGCTTCTTGAATTTAATATCCAAAATACCCTTCAAAAGGTATACATAAATGCAATGAACCAAAAATAAAGGGCATCAGAGGACAGACCTAATCTCCATGGTATGTGTTAGCCACATTATATCAGGTTGGGAATAGAAAGTGTATAGATTAGTAGAAACAGCGTGATGATGTATCTGTGGCAGGATTTAGTTGACAGAAAAATGGTTTTTAAATAATTTCTCTTTCAGAAACCTCTTTATCAACTTATAACATTAAATATATTAAATGTTATTACAAAAGTATAATAAAATTTACAGGTATTTGAGATAAATGAGTATTTGCTCTATAATCTCAAGTTTTTGTCTTTTCCTTTCCAAAACAAGGATTTTAGAGACAGACTGGCTGGGTTCAAAATCTGATTCTTCTACTCATAATTCCACAACTTTAAGTTAATCACTTAAGCTCTCTGTACCTTCTTTACCTCATCTGTAAAGAGTTTATAGAGTTATTATGATGATTAATATGCATACATTTATTATTTACATATTTAATATTCACTATTAAATATTTATTATTATGCACATATTTATAGGCATGTAAACATAACTGTAAATGTCTTCACCAATATACATACACCTATATTTCTGTATAACTGTAGAACATATATATGTATATACATATATATAGGTTCACATATGCATACACATATAGTGTGTGGAATTGAGAAAAGAATAAGTAATTTATTTTTATTTTCATCATTCTTACTTTGTTACAGAAAGCTAATGAATGGAAGGGAGGGGAAATAGGATTAGGAAAAACAGTGTAATGAATCTGAAATAACTTTTTTATGTACGTATATGAATACACCATAGTGAATTGCCACATCATGTACAACCACAAGACTGGGATCCTAATTAGAATAAGATATACCCCATGTTTGTGTGTATATGTCAAAATAGACTCTACTATCATGCATACCCAAATGAAAATTTTTAAGGATAAATATAGAAAAATAAAGCTAATGAGAAAAAAAAAAAGATCAAATGTTCACAGTTGCCAAATTTTAACCCTTCTTTTTGGCTTGATCAAACTTTAGTCCCATTTCTTTCATTCCTGAAGTTGGCTTGACCCCAAACCTGAACAAACTATGAAAAAGTAAAATGTGTCCCTATCGTCTGTCAGCTTCTCTTAGGACCACAGCAAAACCCTTTTCCTATTGGACCACAATAAATATTTCTCTTGCTTGTCCAGGTTCTTCTTAAGAGTCTGTTTATCTTTGTTCTCCCCTGCTGAACTTATGAAAGAAAAACCTTGCCTATTGGATGTTGTGACCTTATAGAGTTCCACAATTGGAGCCTTCTCCCCTACCACAATAATCTTTCTTCTGAATAAAGTCTTCCTATATGTAAGTTCAGGTTTGTTTTTATTTGAAAAACAAAAATCATCCCCAAAAACATTGCTTTCTATTGGTTTTCATATTATGATTATATTGATGTTTTACTTTTACTAAAGTGTTTTATATTGAAATATCGTGACCTATAGGTTTTCTGAGTTGGAACATGGATGGGTTCATTCCAGAGTGCTATATACAGAGTCTAACTTCTTAATAAAATATTTTCCTAAATATAGACTCACTACTTTAGATAAAATTTTCCAATATTTGTGTTCTTGACAATTATTTTAAATAATTGATCAATTGATTCATATTCAAATTTACCAGAATTATTGAGAATTTTAGAACACTGTTATGGTTTGGGTCTCGAATGTCTCCCAAAAGATCATATGTTATATAATGCACCAATGTTCCAAAGTTGAATCATAAGGGCTCTGACAGCATTAGAGGATTAATCTCTCTCATGAATTAATAATTTGAATGGGCTACTTAGAGGTGATGAAAACTGTAGACAGGTGGAGCATGGGTGGAGGTAATAGTTCACTGTGGAAATGTCTTGGGGACTATATATGTCCCTTTCTCTGCTTCCCAGCTACCATGAGTTGAGCAACTTTTATCTACCACACAGTTCTATCATAATGTTCTGCCTTAGAACCAGCCAACCATGGACTGAATTCTCTGAAACTGAGAACCAAAATAAATCTTTCATCTTCTAAGTTGTTCTTGTCAGATGTTTTTTCACAGCAATGCAAAGATGACATAAACACCTAAAATCAGTAAAGCCTCTCTCTCTCCTTATGTCACAGTGTGTGCATGTATATTAATATATATTTAAATATGTATACATACATATGTATGTATATAATTCTACAGTACACAGTAGCAGCCAGTGACATTTTATTACTGCTGATTTCCTGCTTTGAATTGGAGAACTGTTCTTTGAACTTTTGCCTTCTGGGTGGAGCTGACTTTCAAAACCTCATCATTCCCAGGTCACAGTGTTACTCAAGATAATTTAGAGAGGTATTTGAAAACTCTCAGAAAAGCATATTGATTTTAAAATATAATGCTGTTATTTTAGTTTATTTCTCAAACATTAATTCAAATTCATTTTGACATTCTAGTCAAATTCCTTTCTAAGGTAGTCCTCACATTTAATAAAGACACATAAGGGTAACAGATTCCTTTATGATATAACGTAGATCACCCTCTGGGAAGTTCTTTTTCAAATGTCAAATTTGGCCTATCAAACCAGAACAGGATAATTCATCTTAAAGATTATACACATTTAACTGAGCAACAGTAATGGCAAGATTTTGATGAGTAATATGAGTAGTTTCTTAAGGCTTAATGAATTGAATTTCCAAAATATCTTCCATCAAAAGTTTAAGGGAAACTCAGTTCTTTCAACCTCAAAATATGGTTTATTTAAAAAGGCATAAATGTTGGGAAAAACATGTCATGAAATATTGAAAATCTCTTTTAGAGGTGGTACAGTTTAACTTGGGAGGTAACAAACATTTAATAATAAATGTGAAATAGATTATTTTTACCAATATAAAATTATTTTTGTTCTAGAAAACAGTGTTCACACCATTTGACCCAGCTATCTCTCTCCTCAGTCTATACCCAAAGGACTTAAAAACAGCATACTATAGGGACACAGCCACATCAATGTTTATAGCAGCACAATTCACAATAGCTAAACTGTGGAACCAACCTAGATGCCCTTCAGTGGATGAATAGATAAAGAAAATGTGGCATAATACACAATGGAATATTACTCAGCAATAAAAGAGAATAAAATCATGGCATTTGCAGGTAAATGGATGCCATTGGAGAAGACAATGCTAAGTGAAGTTAGCCAGTCTCCAAAAAACAAATGCCAAATGTTTTCTCTGTATAAAGAGGCTCATTCATGGTGGAGTAGGGAGGGAGAGCATGGGAGGAATAGAGGAACTCTAAATAGGGCTGAGGGGTGGGAGGGGAAGGGAAGGGGGTATGGGGTTAGAAATGATGGTAGAATGTGATGGACATTATTATTCAAAGTACATGTATAAAGACAAAAATTGGTGTGAATATACTTTGTATACAACCAGAGATATGAAAAATTGTGCTCTATTTGTATAATAAGAATTGGAATGTATTCTACTGTCATGTATAAATTAAAAAATAATCAGAAAAAGAAAACAGTGCTCACATATATTTGAGCAGAATGTATTTTTTTCACATTGAAAGATGATTTTCTAAAGCCCCATTTCTCAAAGAATATAATTTTGCTGATTAACCATGTCTCTTTTACTTCTAGCATTTTTCCCTCTGATCCTAACATATACTCATGGTTTATATTCACTAACTTTTTGCTATCACTGCTAAAATGTGTATTGTCACTAAAATGCTTCTTTTTAATTGCTAAAATTCATCACAAAATAACTATATTACTGGAACATTCACAAAATGATACTGTTATAGTATGTTGTTTTGGCACAGTGGGAAAAGAAAGTATTGGTGAAAAATAAAATAAAATAAGACTTGAAAATTGTTTCCAGGACTGTGTAAGTGATACAAAATATGGAGACAGCTCGGCTTGAATCTCTTTTAAGGCAGAACTATAACATATGTCATCTTAAATACTTACAATTTTAACTCCATGGAGTAACTACTGTAACTTCAGGAGTTTAAGGGAAAAAATGGTACAACATATTTTGAAATCAATTTTTTTTTTGAAATTTACAATCTTACCTTTCCTGCCTTTTTCCCCTCGGATTTCCGCTGATTTGGGATAAAATGGAGGCAAGGGAAGCAAAACAAAACAAAACAAAACAAAAACAAAAACAAAAACAAAAATAAAAATCAGCTACAATTTGGTTACTGCAAATGCATATTCTTTAAAAAGCATGTCAATATTCCCAGTGCAATACTATGCTTTTTTTCCCCCTAAATGCTTTCATCTTCTAGATTCTTCAGTGGTTTCAGTGAAGTGGTATAAGAACATTGTCAATTTCATGCAAAAATATGAAGTGACATATAAAATCTTCAATTGACATCAAAAAATTAAGTTATATGCTTAGGCAACATAGGCATTAATCAAGAAAAGGCATCCTTTCAATTGGATATTTTCTTATGATATCACTTATTTCTTATCTATTTTAAATGAAGGGGCCTTTATTTCAAGCATGAATGTATTTCTTAAAACAAAAACTAGCCAACTTGGAAATTCATGAATTGGAAGCAAACATTAGAAATATCTATACTATATCAGGATACTATCTCTAAATGTTCTATCAGTTTTATTGGATCTTAGTTCCATTCTGTTTAACTAAATCCTTTCTACTATTTCTAAATGTTCTATCAGTTTTATTGGTTTTTAGTTCTATTCTGTTTAACTAAATCCATTCTAAATCTATCATGATAAAGTAGCAAGTTACTTCAATTTTTAAGATTCAAGAAACATTTGGGTCATCTGTCCTTATAGATTCACTCTCCTTTGTAGATATTCACAAAAGTCCTCCTGCTCATTTTTTTCCTTTCTACAGAAAGGCAAAAGTTCTTTAGAGGGTATTGTTGAGTACAAAGAATCAGAAAATTGAGATGAGGGTAGTATTTATTCTGAAATAAGGGTAAATAAAAAGGGAAACATAGCCAACATAATATGAGGATAAATGCTCTGTATTTTTATCTAATTGTTTTATCAGATATTACCTGGCCAAGAGTCTATATATTTTTCTCTCATTTTAATATAATTGAGTTAAACAATTAAAATTGCAATGAGTATCCAAAATCATCCTAAAAATAAAATTGTACTTTTTGTTCTTTTACATTGTGTATTTAATTTAAGCATAAGATATCAATAATGTCCATCTACATCCATCAAATCCAATCAGCAATGGATCAAAGTTAGAACTTGATTTATCTGTGAAGCCATAGCCTGAGGATAATACCTTGAGTATTCTCTTCCAATAAAGTGTTCTTACATTTCAGTATCTTTAACCAACCAGTATTTAAAGCTCTCTTTATTATGAATGAGAATGTTTTAATAACAGATTCAAATTTTTAATTTTCCAAATGAAAAAAATCTCACAGACCAAAAATCCCTAAAACTTCAACCAATATCTAAAAATATAACATTGAAAATACCTATTCTGTAAAATCATAATGGATGATTTTGTATTTGTTCCAGTAGAAATTACTCAAGAACATAATACATGTTAGCTATTAGATGTTTTACCATTTATCACTGAGCAATCCAAAAGCATTCAGATATTTAGTGAGCCAAGTAAAGGTATAAAAATGTTAATCATCTCTATCTTGGTAAAGCATTTAGTGAACTATTAAAAATTGAATGACAACCAATACTTAAGGCTAGTAAACATTTGGAGGTTACAATGCCACATCTACTAAATTTCTTAATTGAGAGTTCTAACTGAATATAACTGATAAAAAAGAGACATGAAATATAGTATGTAAGGGAAGTTACAAAGTTTGTTAATGTCAAGAGTATAACCCAATGAAAGGAATATCCTAAATTTTCAGTAATTTCTCTATTAAATTGCATAGTATTAGTCAATATAGTAGAAAATTATGTCAGGTAAGTCACCACAGTGAAATATTATTCATGTATGCTTTGATGCAGCAGTTCTGTTAACACACTTTAAAAAAAAATCAAAACCAAGTAATTTTGGTATTCCTCAATATCTATGTACTTTTGTGATCAGTGGGAACAAGACATATTATATTTGTCTGTTTGGGTATGTGTATTCAAACCACAAGCACAAAGGGTGAGGTCAATAAAAGATAAAATCTATAACCCAAAATAGTATTGCTATTGTGTAGTCTCTGAATACTCTTTTTTCCCATCCCCAGGTTTATAACTTCTCTTTTTTCTTTACCTATCTGTATAAAGTACAGCTATTATCTACATTCTGGCTTCAAGTAGGACATTTTTGTGCATTGCTTCTGCTTACAGTGTGATGGTCCTCTGAACATAAGAATTAGAAGATTAATGATAGACGAAAGAGAGAAAGTTGGAATTGGAAGTCAAGGAAGCTATACCTATACACACAATTACCAGAAAGGGGAAGAAACCTACTAGAGAACCTATCTTGAATCACTTTCTGCAGATTAGAAACAAAGTAGAAGAGGGCACAGAAGAAACAATGTATTTGATGAGTGCTGATTTACTTTAAAAGATGACTTCCATCTCACCCAATAAAGCACCAATCATCATTAAATATTTGTCCAATGGGTCATGTACATTATCAACTTGAGATATCCTTTAATGATTAATATTTAACAACAAACACCAGAATGTCATTGACCGTCTTCTGTAGGACCCACAGTACTGATGATGGTAACTCTTCTGAACGTCATGATCAAAATGAAAATGTTTATCACTGTGAACACATAGTAGATCCTTAATATTTGTCTAATGGATACATGAAACTGGGTAAGAAACTTTGTGTGTGTGTGTGTGTGTACTATGAAAAAGTAGCAGCTTGTAAAGTGTGTGATACCATCCATTGTGGAACACCTTTCTCCAGTATGCACTTAAAAATAAAGTACATAGATGCTGCAACTGAGAAAAATGTCACAATTTTAACCTCAATTTGTATTTGGTTTAAATCCATATAACTACTATGTTCAAGTTCATTTGTTTTGGTAGAAGGACACATGTGGCATGATATTTCAGAGATTTATTCAGTTATCTCCTCAGAGTGTTGGTGGCTTTAAAGAAAAGCCACTAGTAAATCTAATAACAAACAAGCCTAAATTTCTTTCTCAGAATGTTTCATTATTATGTCTTTCCTTTCTAAAATGTAAATTGCCACTTCAGAAGAATAAACTTATCAAAATGTATCTAGACATTACTACTGCCTTATTCTGCTTTTCCTAAATTTAAGATTGGCATAAAGATTGTATAGGTAGTGTCTACAAAACAGTAAAGAGTATGGAACATTTGAAATAAGATTCAGGTTTGGGCTGGGGATGTGGCTCAAGCAGTAGCGTGCTCGCCTGGCATGCATGTGGCCTGGGTTCGATCCTCAGCACCACATACAAAGATGCTGTGTCCGCAGAAAAACTAAAAAACAAATAATTATTAAAATTCTCTCTCTCTCTAAGACTCTCTCTATCTAAAAAATAAAAAAAAATTCATGTTTCAGTTCTGGTTCAACAAGTAGCTATATATTCTTATATAAGCAAACTTTGGAAGAATATATATTTACCTCAAACATCAAAGCTATGACTTAACTACATTTTTAGTGCTATTGGTAATGACAATGATTATATCAATTATAGGAGCACTAAAACTATAACCACCATTGTAACTGTTATTATTATATTTCATTTATTGTGTGAGAGGAATTCCAGTATATTCTTTCCTATATCATCTCATTTACTTCTTATAGTGACCCTATGATTGTGGGCATATCATTCTCATATTACATACTAGAAAGATGTATATCAAAGAAGTTAAGAAACCTACTTAGATCCTCTATTTGTGAGGGACAAAGCTGAGGTTTGAAACCAAGTCTACTGGATTCTTAATATTCTAGAATGTAAGGTGCATGGCAACTGGGACTTTTATCATTTTGGATTTAGAATACTGCTATATTCTCAAAGCCTAAAAACATGCCTGGCACAATGGAGACCTACAATGAATATTTGCAGAATATTTAAAGAACAAAATATACTCTTTTATCCTCTATATTTGTGATTATACATAATTATAGCCAGGGTATAATAATTATGAATATTAGTTAAAATAATAAATTTGCAAGCCATACTGTTTGGTTTCAACTGCTGGCTGTATACCTTATTATCTGTTACCTAATAAATGTTTCTTTTTGTCTTTTTGTCTTAGTGCCATCATTTGTAGAATGGAAAATTAGGATTTCCTAATTCACAGTATGTTTAAGGAGGATAAATTGGGTAAATTTAGTACTTCAAAGAGTAGCTGCTACTTGTTTGAGCTATCTACTATTAGTGATAATTTATTTTATCCTCTTCAATGATACATAATTTCAATGTCATACAATCCTACCATTTAAACTGTGAAGTCAACATTTTTAGTATACTCAGAACTCTGTAACCATCACTGCAGTAAATTTTAGAATATTCTCATTACTCAGAGATTCTCATTACTATCATCCCCTTATGTTCCTAGCCATGCCCTCAGATATAAGTAACTATTAACATATTTTCTGTCTCTATAAATGTCCCTCTTATAGAAAAATAAGTAGAGTCATGATCTTTTTTATTGAATTCTTTCACTTTGCATAATGATTTCAAGGTTCATTTATGTTGTAGCATATTTCAGTAATTTGTACTTTTTATGGTTAAATAATACTTAGTTGCAAATATTACCATTTTGTTTAAACATTCATTCATTGGTGGATGTTTGAATCATACATTTGGGCTATTATTAATGATACTGCTATAAACATTCATGTGTAAGTTTATATATGAATGTCTGTTTTTATTTGCTGTAAGTATATTTCTTGGTGTGAAATTAATAAGTCAAACAGTAATCCTATAACCATCTGAGGAACTTCTAGATAGTTTTCCAAAGCAACTGAACCATTTTATATTCCTTCCAGTAGCATAAGAGGGTTCTAATTTCTCCACATCCTCACCAACAAGATAATTTATTTATTTATTTTTTAAACATTTTTTAGTTGTAGATGTACAAAATATCTTTATTTTTATTTATGTTTTATATGGTGCTGAGGATCAAACCCATGGCCTCACATGTGCAAGGTAAGTGCTCTACC